CCTGATCTCCCGAGTCCGACATGGAAGATGAAGTCGTAGCCGTTCTGCGGGGGTGGCGGCAAATCCGGCAAGGGTGGGATCGAGGGCGGTTGCGCATGTAGGCCGGGCACGACATATAGGACTGCGGCGTAGGTCACTTGGACCTCGAGTGCGGTGAAATGGATAGTTCCACCGCCGTTGGGGAGAGGAAGTGTAGTGTTGTTTAGCGGCTTCACAGCTCGCCAGGACGGGTTATTCTCTGTCCGTGCGAATGGCTGTTTGATAGTCTTATGAATGCGTTGTTGTAGAATGGTGAGGGTGGAGACTTACGCCGAATCCTGTAATGAGGACGTGAAAGTCCCGCGGCCGTTTCTGCGATGGAGGGGCCATATCGCGGTAAGAGACAGAGCGCAATCAGCTCCCGGAAATCGGCCCGAGCGTGGGGGGATTGCTCGGACGCAAGAGATATCGCTCAGTGAGTTCTTGGAAAGACTCAAAGAGCGTCGACGAGAGATAAATCGTGAACATGCCATCGTAGCTACTGCAACGCTACTGCAAGTAACAGCTACTGAACTGCTGTCGTTGCCGAATCGTCGAATCCTGTCGGTACTACACGTATATTCAACATGTTCTAATTCTTTGCTGGTATCCTCACTATACAGTTGCATGACGTCACAGACTCCACGCTTTGACGCGGTTCAAGCTGAGTCTGAACCGCGTTTTCTTCCAGCTCTCATCCGCTCCGGCGATGTCGACTCTCCTTGATGCCAGGTTCGCCGTCGACGACGCAATCCTCGCCCAAACGCAGCTCGAGCTCGAGACTGTCGAGCGCATTCGCGCAGAGCGAGCTCTCGCGGTCGAACACGCGCAAGTCGCGTTGGACGTAGCCAACCAACGGCGCGACCAGCTCATTGCGCGCCGTGACCACCTACGCAACGACATTCTTCAGCATAGACTCCAAATGCGCGGTGGTGCCAAGGCCTTCCCAGAGGAAGTGCTTTCGGAGATCTTCCTCCACGTGTTGCCGCCGTACACGCTCAAACACGGCGCCCACCAGATCGGGCGACTTCGGACATTGCTTGAACGAGATGACATTGACTATGAGCGTGCGCTGCTCCCTGGCGTACTGTCTCTGGTATGCCGGCGCTGGCGCGATGCGGCGTTACACACACGGGATCTCCACTCGTACCTGGCCATACCTCCCCGCACATCTCGCGCATCCTCGATTCTAGCTTACATCTCGCGCACTATTGCTCGCTCTCGCCTGCTGGACGTTTATGTCCAGTATGTGGACTCCCGCAGCGATGAAGGGACCAGCACGCACCAGCCTGAGTACTGGTCGCAGATATTCGATGTTCTCTACGAGAACTCAGAGCGTCTGCGCACGCTTGACCTCGCGGTAATCGCTCTGGATTTGAGGCCCGACAGTGGAGACCATTACGATGATATGGCGGAAACCATCTGCGATCTCGCTTTGGGCTTATTTCGTCTGCCCACACCGAATCTCGAGCACGCCTCCTTCAATCTCCGACACAGCCGCGATGACCTGAAACTCTGGATACCAGCCCATATGCAACGGCAGGATCTCCCACTTCTCACCCTGCCAACGTATCTTCCTGACGCCCCGCGGCTGCAATCTTTGTGGCTACACCATGTGCCCATCATGTGTGTCACGGCCGCACTGCCATCGCTCAAGGTGCTCAGCATCGCCAATGATTATCTCTACAAGGGACACGTATGGTCGATGCTGCGCCTCTGTCCCGTATTAGAGGAGTTTTACATCCGCTGTGAAGATATGCACGGCCCGCGACCAGGCGAACCCCAGTTGGAGGCCCCGACATCGCTGCCCATTCGCACGCTCGGCGTCGATCTGCAAAGCGGTTTAGACGCGGTCGGAGACGACCAAACGATGCTGCCAAACCTCACGTCTGTGATACTCCCAGGCTACATGGACGAATATCTCCTGCACAAGGCCAAGGATACGATCACGTCACTCGAAATCTTCAGTGCGTCTTGCGATGACGAGACTAGTGTCGCTGTCTGGGCCGAATTCGCCAACATTGAGCACGCGCACATCCGACAAGCCGACACTTTCGACCTCGGAGGGCTCGTCAACCTCATGTGCAAAGAGGATGGTCCGATGTGGCCGCGGTTGCGAACTCTCAAGCTCGGTGTGGACGACCAATGGGCGGGTCATCGCGGTTCATCGCTCATCCGTCTCGTAGAGACACGCAAGGAGCGGGGGGCGACGAGCGGCTCAGGAGTGCGGGCTTTGGAGAAGATCGCTGTGACCAAAGAGTCTACCGCAGCAGGTTGGGTAATCGCGAGACTGCGTAAACTCCTCGGACCAGAAAATCTGGAGATTTGGGAATGAGGGTGTGTCTACTTGCAGGGCGATGTGGAGCTGTCGTCTGTGTGCACATAGCGACAATGTATATACCAGAACGCTTGGTCGGAAACCGGTTGAACGAGTGCGAATCTCTGGAGAACTGTGAAAGAAGACGAGGTGTGATTATAAGCCCGCTCATTGGACTTGGTCTCGTTCCTGTTACTATTACATCATTGTCCAAAGTCCATGGCCATAACTCCCGGTTCACTGAACACCCCAGTACTCGGCCCACTCATCCTCATCCGCCGCGCGCACGCTTACCTCCGTGACACCTCGAATCTTCATGGCGGTCTCTTTACCGACGAGGTGTTCCAACCACGCGGCAGCCATATCAATACCTAAAAAATCGCGTCACAATGTGAGATTTCGCAGTACGCTAGAAGCGCCTTCAACTGACCAGCAGAAACGCCGGATGCCGTCCAGAACTTTCCATCTACGACCCATCTGGCCTTGGGAACCCATTTGATAGTGGAGCTCGTCGCCGCCTGGATTCGTTCAGCATCGTGTATCCAACTTGAAGCGGAACTGAGAGCGCACAACCACGTCCTTGAAGTTGGCCTTGTTGCTCGTGGCGCGCTTGCCATCAAGAACTCCTGCCTGCGCGAGCGCCCACGAGCCGGTGCACACGCTTAGGACGTACTGCGCCCCCTCGGACTGCGCCTTCACGAATTGCAGAAGCGACGGCGGAATCCTGTGTGGACGAACGCCGGCCCCTATAATCCCCTGTCAACGAAAGCACGCCATACCGTGACCTCAGTGATCACGCACCTCCGGGCACGAGGACGACGTCGAACTGCAACCCCCGCTCGATAGCTTGCTCGTAGCTCAACATAGGCTTCACTGGCGGTCCGCTGGTCGGATGCACCAGCTCGCCACAGTCTGCCGGTGCGAGATAGGTGAACTCCAACTTGTGCGATGGCGGGAAGGCCTCAAGGTGTCTGTTCAGAACTTTGGACGGGTCGGCATCGATGAATCCCAGCAAGTCCATCGGCCCCGCGTAGTCCAACAGTTGCACGCCATTGAAAAGACACAGAGCGAAAGTGAGCGTGGGCATTGTGGGAAGAGGGAAAGACGCGGAAGGATACGCGCCACGGAGAGCCGAAGGCGGTCGGGTGGTTTCGGACCGATACTCTCTGGGATATGACAAGATTTGGTAAGCTATCATTCCTATTCAGTTCCACAGGGTCGTCGACTACGTTATGTTCTACATATTATAGTACCAGTATGGTATCGGCATCGGCATCAGTTGGAAGTTACAGAAGCAATAACTTCATTTCCATGGAGGAGTATCTTCTCTGGAATGTTGTACTTAGCAGTCCAGTCTATCCACCGCTCAGGCATGAGGCCACTGCGTTCTGTACGTGACAGGTAGGTGACGTGCACTCTGAAGAGCCTGCAGGATGGTGGGATCGTCTCGAACAATAGCACGTCGGCTGTATATCCACATCGGAGATCCAGAGTTTCGAGTGCCGTGCACATCGACACCGTAAAAGCAGCATGCCGCAGAGACTGTGCTTGCACTGCAAGCATGTGAGCGTCACAATGCGGGTTTCGAGATCCAGTGCTCACCGGCAAAATTCACACTATGGCTAACGTCCAAAAACAACCCGCGTACGCGTGACCCAATGACCTTCAGGCGTTCTTCGAGGACGCTCTCGCGAAGGTAGAGAGTCGTGAGATGTAGTGACCGGAACAGGAAGTGTTTCCTGTGTTGTGCAGCCCACTTGAAGGAGCCGTCATCCGTCGAGTCGTACCCGCGCCCGACCATCAGGTCCAGGATGCAATCGGACCAGGGCAGCTCGGCGTCACCGCTCTTCTCGGTCCATGTGACACACGACGCGAGCCGCAGCTCGGCGAGGCTGGAGAACCGTGAGAGGAATGTTGTGAGGGAGCGGGCATCGAAGTGGCATCCGTCGAGTGCGAGCTTGTGGATGCTTGGGAACGACCACTTGAGGATTGTGGGTGCATCTGCTGCGCTGAGATCGAGATTCTGCAGGTGCAACTGTCCCAGGTTGCTGAATTGGGGCAGCAGTCGTAGCGCACGAGTTTTAATTGTATGCTCCGTAGGAGTGAACTCGAGGCAGTTGATGGAGAAGCGGCGCGGTAGCGGGTTGTAAGTGTCCGGTTGCGACTCGAGAAGGTCGAGTAAAGCGGCAGGGTCGGCATGACAGGTCTTCGTACTGCTCACTTGCGAGAGCTCCAAGTGACGCATGAGGTGCTGGAGGGCTCGAGAGTGGAATGTGCGACAGACGGTGAGGCAAGCTGTCAGCGTCGCCTTGTCGAAGCCGAGGGCGTCGATGACGGAGAACCACAGTTCAACAGGCAGAGCGATCATTGTAGGCAAGAGGATGGGGATCGAGGAGAACTGAGCTAGTCATTCTTGTACTCCGGATGTGCATGTCGATCACCCAGTCCGGTTCGCAACTGCCGGAAAATACTAGACCAACAGGATCCCATCCCCTATGAAATCAATGACGATTGAAGGACAAGGGCAAGTAATGATTCATTCATCTCTCTCTCTCTCTACTCGAATCGCGCTCGTCAAGGGCAAACTCCCAGATGTGTTATTTCAACTCTCAATAGCCTTACTCTGCGACGATGGTATAATAGTAGTAAAAGCCACGTGATCGCTGGCTGTGTAGTGTAGTGGTTTAGCACATGGGATTTTGACTATTCCAATCTTCCCATAACCGCGGTTCGAATCCGCGCACGGTCAGGTTTTTGAGCTCTGCGCGAACAGTTATATATGTAAATTCAGACCACTGTGTCATCCGCACTGTAACCTCGCCCCTTTGCGTGTGAGAGCGGGAGGTAGTGTCGTGATTCAAATATTTTGCTTGCAAACGCGCGGACTCGGAGTCGCACTCCAGGTTGCTTCTCTTCCAGTAACCGTCATGGCCGATTCCAAACTACTCGACGATACCGCAACTTTCTCTTCATTTGCAGGCGTGCTAGACTCTAGAATCCTACGTGCTCTGGCAGACAAAGGCTTTGCGCGTCCCACCCTCGTCCAGGCGAAAGCCATTCCCCTTGCGCTGGAAGGGCGCGACATCCTGGCTCGCGCACGGACTGGTAGCGGCAAAACCGCAGCGTACTGCGTGCCGCTTATCCAAAAGATATTGAGCTCAAAAAAGGCGCGTCGAGATATCTAGATCTTATGGAAGGAATGCTAAATGGTTTCTCGAGCAGACCGCGGCGCAAAGCGCCACACGCGCGCTCATTCTCGTACCGACGCGAGAATTATCGGAACAGGTCTCGTCGTTACTCAAAGGACTGTTACAATACTGCGAAAAAGACGTGACGTATGTCAACGTTGCTACTGGCACTACGGCTCACCTGAAGTACGCATGCGCACTGAATTCTGCTTGCACTCGTTCACCATCTACAGATCTGTTCTCGCCGACACGCCTGATATCGTCGTGGCTACACCTGCCAGAGCCTTGTCGTTATTACAAGCCAAGGTACGCATCTTGTATGTTCAGCGCCAGGTGAACTGAAGCCCAGTATAGTCGCTCAGCTTGGCCTCCGCCGAGTCGCTTGTCATCGACGAGGCAGATCTCATCCTCTCGTATGGGCACGACGAGGACATGAAACAGATCCTCGCCGGCGGGTTCTTGCCTTCCGTATACCAGTCATACCTCATGAGCGCGACGATGACGAAGGATGTCGAGACGCTCAAAGGTCTTGTCTTGCGGAGTCCGGTACGTGCTATACACACTACATACGCGAGTTGTCCTATGGAGTGTGCGACTATGGCATATGTCAAAGGAGCGGCTGTCGGCAGCTTTTTTGCATGCATATCTGGCACACAGCTCGCGCGTGAAGTGACTGCACTCTTCTGACTTCTGACGTTTTTATCACAGGCCATCCTGCGGTTAGAAGAAGACGAGGACGTCGCGGCGAATTTGAGCCAGTACTCCGTTCGGTGCGTCGCATGCTAGAACTTGCACTTGGGACTGACAGGGCACATCAGGTGCTCCGAAGTCGACAAGTTCCTACTGGCGTACGTGATCCTCAAGTTGAAGCTCGTCAAGGGCAAATGCTTGATCTTCGTCAACGACGTCGACCGGAGCTACCGCCTAAAGCTCTTCCTGGAGCAATTCTCGATAAAGAGCTGTGTGCTCAACTCGGAGCTGCCCTTGAACTCTCGGTGCGCGTTTTCCTCGTCGCTGACGACCCACTCACTGTCCCATAGATTCCATATCGTGCAAGAGTTCAACAAGGGGGTGTACGACTATATCATCGCTACAGACGAGAGTGGAGGCAAAGGCGAGGCGGACTCGGATGTGGAGTCTGAGGCAGAGGATGTGCCAGAAGCCGAGGCAGAGGAGGAGGATCCTGACAGTAAGGGCAAAACGAGCCGTACGACCGTCTTCTAACGTATCACAGTGCTCCCCACGCAAAGGCCAGCAGAGGGCGACACGCCCGCAAAGCCCACCCTCAAGCGTAAACGCGCTACACCTCCCCCGCCGTCGCAAAAGAAGCGTCCAAAGAAAGCCGGGGACCGCGAGTACGGCGTGTCGCGCGGTGTGGACTTTGTGGACGTATCGTGCGTGCTCAACTTCGACCTGCCCTCCTCCGCGCGCGCGTACACGCACCGCGTCGGACGGACGGCGCGTGCTGGACGCAGCGGGATGGCGCTCTCGTTCGTTGTACCCACGGACGAGTTCGGGAAGCACAAGGTTGTTGGCGGCGTCGCGAGCACGCGGCGGGACGAGAAGGTGTTTGCGCGCATCGAGGCGGACCAGGGCGCGCGCGGGAGCAAGATCGCAGAGTACAAGTTCGACATGAAGCAGGTCAACTCATTCCGGTACCGCATGGAGGACGCGCTCAGGGCCGTGACGCGCAGCGCGATTAAGGAGGCGCGCGTCAAGGAGCTCAAGACGGAGATCTTGAACTCGGACAAGCTAAAGGTGCTGTCTTCTTCGTGGTAATGTAGCTTGTACTCATGCAGTTCCTAGGCGCACTTTGAAGACAATCCCCTCGACCTGGAGTATCTCCGGCACGACAAGGCGTTGCACCCGACACGCGTGCAGGCGCACATGAAGCATGTTCCGAAGTACTTGATGCCGCGAATAGCTGCGGTGCCAGGCGGCGCGGAGACGGACGACACCACCTTCGTGCCGTTCAAGAAGGAGAGCAGCGCGCGTGGACGTGGGCGTGGCAGGGGCGGGAAGAGCTCGCGTGGCGGTAGAAAGAAGAATGACCCTCTGAAAAAGTTCGGGCGTTAGGTCGTGTATCTTGTTGACGTGTCACGCGAAATATATAGGGGTGCCACCGGGGCGACGGTCCGGGCTCATTTCCCTCTTGCCACCGACGCACGCGACGAGCAACGCTGCAGCAATGGCGCCCTCTATCATCGTCGTCATGGTGCGTGCTGGCAGGGCGACGGCGAGCCTGGCTGAATCGGGCGCGATCAGGGCGTGTCTGGCTGCGGGAAGAGCACGACGGGCAAGAATCTCGCCGACGCGCTCCATGTGCCGTTCATCGACGCGGACGACCTGCACCCCAAGTCGAACGTCGAGAAGATGTCGAACGGCGAGCCGCTGACCGACGACGACCGCAAACCGTGGCTCCAGATCGTCCGCACCGCCGCTGTCAAGACCTGTGGCGTCGAGGGCGCCGCCGGCCACGAGACGGGCGTCGTCATCGCGTGTTCCGCCCTGCGTCGGTCGTATCGCGACCTCCTGCGCGGTATCACCGAGGGCGAGGTGCACCATTCAAAGGAAAACCAGGTCCTGCATACATATTTCGTGTTCATCGACGGCCCGCGCGAGGTCCTCCTCGAGCGGATGCATCTGCGGAAGAACCACTTCATGAAATCTCGCATGCTCGACAGTCAGCTCGCGACTCTCGAGGACCCGCGCGGAGAAGACGGCGTGTTCGTCGTTAATCTCACCGACAGTCCTGAGGAGCAGGTGAGGACTGCGTTGCAGGCGCTCGCGCAGTCGGGTGTGAAACCAGCGGAGAGCGAGCATCCCGCACGCGAGGAAGTTGGCCACGGCGTGCCCGTTGTGATCGACTCAGAGTCGTCGAAGGACTCACCTGGCCCCGCGGAGAACCCAAAGACTGTCACTGAGGTGTCTGTATAGTATTCGTGCCGAGCTTCTTAGACTGTTCTGTACTGTCTGCTTCCCCAAAGGGAACGCCTCGATTGTATCGTCCGCGGCATGAGACGCTATGTAACAACTTATATACAGCTGCCGGGAACACTTGCTGTCGCGTTCTTGACCGATGTCTTCAACGGGGCACTCCCGCAGAGGAGACCCTTCACGAACGCCGCCGCAACAGTGTTGGCACCCGCCGGGCTCGTGTGCGTGTGGTCATTGGGGTAGTACGAGTCCACGGTGGAGAGACCAAGCGACTGGAAGCGGTTTGCGGTGTACTGGCCGTGGTCCACGAAGGAGGCGCCGACCGCAGCCGCGGCGGCGCGGGAGTAGTCCGTGACTGCACATGCGCGTGAACAACATGACGCTCCAGCTGTGGCTATACTTACACCGGTTGGGAGTGTAGACGAAGGAGCCGCCTTCCCACGGGTTATTCGGCGTCGGGGAGCTGATGATGACCTTTGCGCCCTTGGCGATCATTGCAGAGGCAGCGTTTTTGAGATACGCAGGGTAGGTCAGGACCGTCTCGGAGACGCCACTGAGAAACGTGTGAGACGCGGGTGGGTGATCGGGAAGTTGGAGACGTACTCGAATGTCGTCTGACACGTCTGCGCTCCATCTCCCGGACAATCTTCGCAAGAGTCAGTAGAGTACTATACTTGCTGCAGTTCGACTTACCCGTCCGGCCGTTGTCAGTGGGAGTCAAGCTGCCGCCGTCGTTATGCCCGAATTCTATAGACGATGCGGGGTGGTGAGCCAACAGTCCCAGTATCTCGAAGTGCAGAGAACAACCGCACCGATGATCACAAAGTCTCCGCTCTTCACCGTGTTGATGATCGTCGTGAAACGACCTTCACGGGAGAAGCTGCGAGCCGAGCGTCCTCCTATGGCCTGGTTCACGACCGTTATGTTGAGAGAGTACTTCAGGAACTCTCCCCAACCTGACCAGACTCGTGAGTATCCACTACCATATGTTGTGAAGACAAGGCGTACCGTCTGTACCGGTGCCGGCACCACCACCGTTCTTGGCCATCGTACTGTCGCCAGCCAGGTAGACCGTGGCGGCGGAGCCCGACGTGCAGGCGACAGCGACGAACGCAAGGAGACGGAGGAACTGCATGAGTACTCAGTAGAGGATCCGCGCACGAATGCACCACTGTGGCACCCTCACCTCCTCCTTTTAAAGTACTGGAAATGCATGCCGGGACGTGTCACATGTACCGTCCCGCGTAATAGACTTGGTCTTCTCAGATGCACTCGGAGCAAGGTCGGGCAGCCAGTTGCCAGCGCAGCGCACCATGCAATTTCGAATTCAAGAGCCTCTCAAGAGGTATAAGAAGCGGGCGGTCCGCGAACCCGGCGCTGCCCGTGGCGTCGTGATCATTCGGAAGCGCACGTGCTGATTTTGTTTCTTCTTGCTGCTTTTGGCGTGAGAGGCTTGCGGGGACGCCGGGGAGGTTGGACTTTGCACCCACTGCTCATGGCTGTACGGAACCTGCGGCGGAATTCAGAGTGCGTAAGTCTGATGCGGTGTGTCAATAGCGGATGTCAGAGTGGTGGAAACTCGCAGTAACTCGACGTGGAAAGTTGCGCAAGTGGGGACGGTGCA